GGATCTGAATCAATGAGAGTTGGAGATGCTTTCAAGACTTCTAAGTGTTCAACGTAGGAGTAGAGTGTCGTTCGATCCTAATGAACTTTGAGGACATATTTTATGTGTAGGAGGGGAGAGTTTTAACATCCTAAATTCAGTTTGGTAGTTTCTGGTTGATCCAAGTGGGTTTTGAAGAACCCATTAGTCCATTAAGAAGGATTATGCCAATGTTGGGCTGGTTCGGGCTAGGTTTGAACCCAAATGGTTATAAAAAGAGTTTTTTTTACATAGTAGGAAAACAAGGAAAGGCCAAAAGAGCAATTATCCCATTTATGAAAATAACGGTGATATTTTGAGATTTTTAAAGTGTTTGGGTGTGGGATTAGAGCTAAAATCTTAACAACTCTTATCTTTTTCTTTTCATATTCTTCCCCCTCATTTTCTTCTTCATTCTGTCCCTATATGTCATAACTAAAAGGTAAGTTCTTGAGCATCTTTCATGCTTTCTTTAGACTTCAAAGTCATCCTTAAGTCTTTGAGAAACTTTGTTTTGAGTTAAAGACTCCTCTATTATGTTTTCGTTAAAGAAAGTGGGTTTTGAATACTCAAGTTTAAGAGGAATAGGATAAAACAATAGTAAAGTAGAAATGAGGTTTATTTTAGATTCTCTAGCTATGGTAGTGTATTTCTAATCTTTTTTGGTGTTATGACTTTCCTAAATGTAATGCTTGATGGGGATTTGGGGTTTCTAAGCATATTGGGGGTTATTGCTTGATTCTTACTTTATAGACATTTTTGTTGTAAAGTTTTTGTTTTTATGGTGATAGATGACCCTAAATAACTCCCTTAAACTCTAAAACATGATTTGGAACCAAAATAGGGTGCTTGAGAGAATTTTTGGTTGATTCCCAAGCCTTATTCAATTCTTTCTAGATTATAGTATCGATATTATTCTTGTAGTATTGATATTGTTCCTGTAACATTGATATTAGTATCAATATTGTTTTTGTATTACCAATACTATTATTACTGATATTGTAGTGATACTGATATTATTAGTACCAATACTATTGTAGTATCAATATTGTCAGTGTCGATACTAGTGTAGTACCAATAATATTAACATTTATAATATTGTTAGTACAAATATTGTTGTAATACCAATACTATTCTTATAGTATCAATACTCCTCATCATTAAAATATCTAAAACATCGCTCGTTACACCCGAATGTCGATAAATTGCTATGAATTGTGCAACTAAGCTTGGAGGCTATGATTTATAAAATGACTTAAACACCCCCATGTGGCATAAACTACAAAAATACCCTTAATGAGAAATAAAATTCAAAAGTATCCCTAAAGGTGCACGTAACGAACTATAAAAAATGAGAGATCATTACGAAAGAATGTATACAAGTGAGATAACATATCACACGAATAATATAATAGCGGAATCATGCATTATGTGAACATCGATAAACCATAAATATGTAGGTTACCCTTCCAGATCAAGGGTGAACTGAAGGGAAGTGTGATGAGAGCAACTAGAGAGAAAGTCGTTATTTAATAACCAACCATAAGTCAAATGTTAAGCTAGAAATAATATACCAAGTGGGTAACGATAATTAATTATTGTGAGAGCATAAAGTGTTAGACACATAAAGTAGTGAAAATGACCAAAACCCCTTAAGTGTTGATTGACCAGAATATAGTGGTATAATGAACTAATATATGTGAAAGACTAATAAACCCTTTTATAACATTTTATATGAGAGAACGCGAATATAATGGCAAATGAGGGGATGACCTCACCTGATTGTGTTGTATTATGTCAGTGTGTAGTTGAGCTATCTTGTTTACCCTTGTGTGGTATTTATATATATGAATGGCCTATGGGCACCTTTGTGTGTATATGTGATTGCATTGACGTTGATTAATAGATATCCATAATGCTTGACTTGACGACTGTTTGATATCAAACCAATGCTTTATTGAGCGGGAATTTTATCGATGGCTCTACGAGACCGGGTTCCCCTCCATAATCTATACCCGATGGCTATGTAAGACAGAGAGATCATTTGTATGTTTGTTAGTAATTTTACCTATGGTTATGTGAGATCAAGTTCCCCCATATATGGTTGTACCTACAACTATATGATATTGGGTACTATCATTGTGTTTGTATGCTGATTATGTGTTGTATATGTTGATGCATTGTGATATGATATTATGGTTCTATCACTAAGAGAAGCATGAGACGGATACTTTAGTGATATAAAAGTTGAGCTCTAAGTATGTAGAGTTTGATTATAACCATGCATGTACCTATTGCTTATTATCATATATGCTAGCATCCTTACGTTTATGAGATTCATATGTTGCTCTAGATTAGTGATTATATTATTGAGCTTTGTAAGCTCAATGTTTAGATATTTTTGTTCACAAGTTAATAATTTAAATTATTCGAGGAGCATCGTTGTAGTAGGATTTCCAGCATCCCTTCTAGAGTATTGTACTGTTACTTTTATTGGGCAAGTGTATTCATAGGACCCTTATTATTGTATTCAGATTTATAAACTCTGAGATTATTATTTTGTTTTAAACTTTGTGCCACAAAGCTTCGATTTGTTAAAGTATCTCTATAACTATTATGGATGTTATTTTTTGGTAAATGTATTGTGTTTTAAATAGAATCATAAAAGGTTTTAAATTTTAGTGGTTGATTCGACAACCCATTGTAGCAATTTAGGCCCATTCGGGTTTATAGCGTTACATAGACCTTTTGAAGCTTACCTTCATAGACTAGGAATACAACATAGATTTACTTGCCCCTTAACATCACAATAAAATGGTGTCGTTAAGCGGAAGCATCATCATCTCTTTGAAACAACTCTCACTCTACTTGCTCAAGCTTTCATTCCACTAAAATTTTAGTCGTATACAATTTTGAGTGTATCTTATCTAATTAATCGAATGCCTTCAAAGTTATCTATGATTGTGCATCTCCTAAACATCAAGGTTATCGATGATTGGATGCTATAGACCGAGTCTTTCTTTCGCACCACATAAAGATTAATGAGGGAATTTTCCCTTTTTCTCAATATTCTACTACAGTTGAGATTGTTCACCCTAATATATCTTATTTTATTTCTTTTCTTTCTATCACTTAGCCTTTAGCAGAGCAGATATCATAGCTTATATTTCTTTTTGAAGGAACAACTTTTACACCAACTTCACCCTCTGTAATAGAAGTAGATGGCACTTCAAAAACAATTATTGTTGATGCTTGTTTTACTCCTTAAACAATAGCAGAACCATCAGTTGATTTGCCTGTTTCTACCTCATTAAATGTAGCTTCTACTTCTTCTGTACCAAGTTTTCATCATATGGTCACTAAAAGTAAAATGGGAAACTTTAAACGTAAGGTTTATACAATGGATCATAGTCACTAACTCGTGATGTTTATGAGGTCATGTTGCATTCCAAGCGATGAGAAGATATCTTAGCTAAGTATAATGCATTACAACAAAATGACACATGAGGAATTGGTTGAATTACCATAAGGAATAAAACCCATTGGGTGCAAATGGTTTTTTAAGATTAAGCATAAAGTTGATAGAACCATCAATCGGTTCGAAGCCATATTTGTAGCCAAGGGATATTCTCAACTTCCAAGTCATGACTATCTTAATACTTTTAGTCCTATTGTCAAAACATTCATGGTGGACATCTTACTCTCTTGGCAGTGACTAATTGTTGGTAGGTTTGACAAGTTGATGTCAAAAATGCCTTCTTAAAGGGAGACTTAAGTGAGGGTTTCTATATGACTCAACTAGGTAGGTTTAAGCAAATCAAGGAAGATGGGACACCGTTAGTTTGTAAGCTTAAACGATTCTTTTATGGAATACGCCAAGATGCGAGAAACTAGTTCACTAAGCTTAAGGATTTTTTTGCTCTCCTTGAAATTTCGACCCTCTAATGCTGATAATTCCTTATACATATATAATGAGGTTGATTTTACAATATATGTGGCTGTATATGTTAATGACACTCTGATTACAGGAAATTCTACAACTTATATTGATGATGTTGTTTGTAAGCTTGATGTTGAATTCTCTTTGAATGATTTGGGCAACTTGTAATATTTTCTAGGTGTTGGAGTAAAGTATATTCAAGGAAGTTTGTTCTTGACTCAAATGTGGTATATTGCTGAGGTATTAAACAAGGACAAGATGAGTGGTGCAAGGCATGTTTTTACACTAATAGTTGTGGTGCCAAAACTCAGTAACTACGATGGGGCAAAGCTGTAAATCCTTATCGATATCGCAGTATTGTAGGTGTACTAGTGTAACAACCTAAAATCTGACTTAGTAGTTCAGGTCGGTGGCTCGGTAAATTTTTGAGATTTCCGAAAAAGTCATAATTTTGAGAATTTTTAAAGTAGAAATTATTTTAGAATAGTATTATTAATTTTAATTCGGGTTAATTAAATGATTTTAAAAGTGTAATTTTAGTCGTCAAAATGGAATAGGATTGATTATTAAAATCTATAAAGTGATTTTACCAAGTGTTGATATTATCCATTTATTTTCTTATTTTTGTATAAACTTAAACTTTTATACTCTTTTTGATTTTAAACTCTTTATTTTGATTTTTAATTTACTTTAAATGATGTTAATCTAATTTTTCTTTTATCCAAATTAAATATAACTTTTCCCTAATGTTTTGATACTCATCCAAAACATGTTCAGTTTTCCTCTTGTTTTCTTCAATGGCTAAAACCTTCGTTTCCTTTCTCTCAAACCTTTTTGCTGATTTTATTCTTGATTAAATCAATTCTCAAACTTGATTTTCAAACTTCCATTTCTTCCTCTTAACCGTGGATTACTCTAACTTAGAGGAGTTCCCTTAATTTCTTCCTTTGATTCTTCTTCTTCTCCTTCAATCAATTTCCAGCAAGTTAAACTTCATTTTCTTAGTTCCTTTATGTTTCGCTGATTAAAAGAGATCCTTCTATATTGATGGATAATGGTTTCAATGAGATATTGGTTTTTGGATGATTAAAAAGGATGTTCGAATAAATTCAAAAGATAACTTTATTGAGTTGTTTTAGGGTTTCTTTTGAAAAAAATAGATTTTAATGATGAGGTAAATATTGGGTTAAAATAGTTTTTCAATCAGAATTGGATTTCATATCGGTTTCCTTAAAATAAGCTTAGTTTTGACCTTTTTTGCAAATTTGGGAATCGCTTTGGCTGTTGCTGTTTTTGGATGGTATTTGATGTTTAGAAGCTTATTTAGTTTTATTTGATTAGTTTTAGGTGGAAGAATGTTGTTTTAAGTTTTGGAAAGTTTCGGGTTAAAGAACGGTAAAATTTTTTGTTGTATCGACGTTCTTGCTCTGTTTTTGTATAATATTTTCTGCTCTATTTCGAGCACTTTGGTGACATTCTTTATGGTTTCTAAGGTGATATTTAGGTCTATGATGGAGTAAAATTGGTGTGTTATTGTTTGGTGTTTGTTTGACGTAAGTTTGATTGATTTTGAGTGGTAAAAACGGTAGAGATGAGTGGATATTCATTCTTTTATAAAGAGCATTGGTAATGTTAATTGAAGGTTAGAATGGTAAGCATCTTAGTGAAACTAAGAGTGAGTTAATGTTCTGTTTTGGCATTGATTTCCTTAATGTGAACATTTTACAATGATGATGATTAAGCATGATTATACATGAACATGATGATACCTTGTGAAGCGTACATGATTTTGTAAGTTATGTTTACAAGCTATTATGAATTTAGTTATGGACGTGCAGAGACAATTTTTTGTCCAAGAATGAGTAGAGACAATTCACTATTCTATTTGGTTGATCATGACAATCACCTTAGTTTGAAAACTATTTTTTGAAATGAATAAGTATATGTATATGTTATGCATCATTTGGCAACTATTTATGATAAACTTGACTTAATTGGCAATTATTCTTAATGGGACCTTGGATATGAAAGGCATGCCTAGGAAATAGTACTTTATGTTTTGATAAGTATATGTGTAAGGGATATGGTGTAAGGTTGGTGCGTTGAGCTTTGCTCCGAAATATGGAAGTTAAGACCTATGTGAGTCCAAAATAAAAGGAGTGGTATGGAGTTCGTTTATCCATAGATAAGTTGTGTTTTGAACAAATGCCAATGGTCTTAAATGAGATTATTATGTGCGTTGTGTGTATGGACTTCCGACAACGGTAATGGTGTATGTGAGAATGTGTATCGCATTGTTAATCATGAAATTACCAAGCATGTTATAATCTAGAAATCAAGTAAGATGTTAAGTTATGTGTAATGAAACATTGTGCATTTGATTAAGTAATAATGTGATATGCTTTGATAAGGATTTTACAATGTTTAGGACACTTTTATTAATTTTTACTATGAGCATTATGATAGAAGGTTTAGACATTCTTGGGCTTTAAGCTCACACCATTGAATACATTCTGCAGAGTACTAGAGGTTGGTTCGTTAGTGTGGAAGCGTTGTCCGATGGTGATCAAATAAGACTCGACTTTTATAAGAGTATGCAAACCATGTGTTGATTTGAGACAATGTGGGAATGATATGTTGGGATTTTTGTTAAGTTTTGGTGTTGTTAAGTTTGTAAATATTATGGTGATTAATTGACCTCTTGAATTACTTGGTGGTATGTCATGATGATGATGTTTTGAGTATGTGTTAGTTATTGATTTCATATAGGTAGGATGTGCAAACGTTGCTATGAACTTAAATACGTGTTTGAATGGCCTGGACAAGTTAAGTTTACATAATATGTTAGTGTCTTAGGAAGCATGAAATGAGAGTTTTTGTGTCTTTTGGTTAGGTGACTTAAGAAAAAGTAAGTTGTTTATGTAAAATTTGACTTTTAATGCTAGATTTCATTACGATGTGTTGACCAATGTTTTGAAGCATGCTACAAGTGTATTATGATGTGTATGAAGTGGTTTGAGCTTGTACATGTATGTATTTAGAAACTATGAGTGATTAAGTGGAAGTTTACAAACTCATTTTTGCATGTTCATATGAAATTTTGTAATTTCCCAAAAAAAATGATCAATCTCTCACCCCAGAGGATCGATCTCAAACATACTGTATTGCACAGGATCGATCCCTTACAAAACGGATCGATCCCTTTTCAAAACGGATCGATCCCTTCGCTGCGTGTTTAAGGAAAAATGAGAAAATTCAATTTATTAAAGGTTATAAGAGTTCCTAAGTCTTAGTTTGGCCCTAGGATGTTTATGTATGTTTAAAATGGTCCTGAAATGGATTTGTTAATTAATATTAGACTCTAAATTGAAAATTTGTGGGATTTGTTTTATCACACTCTAATCTATTAAATCATATGATAAGAGAGTCAATTGCATGATTGTTGTTCATGTAAGACTTTTGATTAATTTACATTTTGGTCCCTAAGTTTGTAAGTTCAATTAGATTCTCGATTGATGTCCGATCAATATGAAACTTCGCATGTCATTAGTTAATGATAGTAAATGAATAATAATGAGCCTAATTAGATAATTTACCCTTAAGGATTTTAATTATGAAATGACTAGTTTACCCATGATGAACTGGTAGTATTTTTCTTGAAATGTTGAATTATTGATTGACGTTAGTTTATTAAATGTTTATCGCTTCCATGAATTGCATATTGTATGTTAAAAAATTTTAATTGCTTCTGCTTATATTGCATGTTTTTAAAGATTTTGTTATGTCCGACAAGTTCAGAACCTAATGTATGCTCGGGTATCTGTGTCACCTTACGTGGTCAGGTATAGGGTGTTACAACTACAATACATTTTCCACACGCGCCCTAATATTGAAAGGGGCCATAGATTTTGGACTCTGGTTCTCCTCTCAATCATCTGCAACAGCTCTTACTCTTTCCTCTAATTAAAACTGGGACGGTGATCCTGATGATCATCGTTCCATCTAAGGTTTTTGTATCTATAATGGGTCTCATTTTCTCTCTTGGTGTTCAAGGAAATAGCACACTATTTCACGATCCACTATTGAGGCAGAATATTATAGTTTAATTGATGCAACATCAGAAGTCGTATGGGTTAATGCTCTTCTGCAAGATATGTGTGTTTTGTTTAGTGAAGTTCCAAGAATTTGGTGTGACAACACTAGCACTGTAGCTATGAAAGTTGACCCAGTCTTGCATGCTACTGCAAAACACGTGGAACTTGGTCTTCATTTTGTTCGAGAAAAGGTGCAATAACAAAATTTACAAGTAATTACATCATCGCACATTGTCAACTTGTTGATGTCTTAACTAAACCTCTTGTTATTTCTAAGTTTGAAGCTATGAGGAAGAAACTTTGTATTTTTCATGTGTAAGATATTGAGACCACCAAGAAGCAGGGAGAATGTTAAAGCATATTGGTTTATTTTGCCAGGCTAAAGTAATTGTAATTTGTTGGGCCATTCTTCCATACTAGAGTAACTGAAATTCCTTAGGTAGTTTTCAGTATATTAAATTGGTTAGCATATGAGTTATGAATAAAGTAATAGAAAAGGCTTAAGGCTAGCCTTTTGGATTTCATGATTTTGTGTTCACTAATAGAAAGGTTTCATTCTTATTCTCTTATTCTTGTTCTCTACTAGAACTCAAAGTAAATTTGGTTCTTCATTTTCAACAGATTATCATGTCAGCAGGTGTTTTCAGGCGTTGTTCATGGGATTTTTCACACTTTAAAGGTTAAATCTTGTCCTTGAAAGGTTCAATTCAAGTGAGTGAATTGAAAAATCTTCATTGGTGGAAAGCTAAATCAATTGTGTCAAAAATTTTAAATTTTATTCAAGATTCCACCAAATTCTCTTGAAGTCAATTCATCATCTCTTAACAATTTCATATTGATCGAAGAGCTAACAGAGGAAAACAGAGAATAGTGGTTACAGAAGATGTCAACCCCTTATCAATCTTGATTGAAAGTATTTATAGTAGTCCTTACTATATGTGTCAATTGTAAGATATTATGGTTATTAATAGGCTAGTGAAGTAGTAAAATTTGATAGTTAGATTTTTAAATTTTATTATGGTAGATTTATTAGGGGTTCTATCTACACACTATATTTAACTAAGAGAATATTGACTTTTTTTAATGACTCGACGGGGATGGAGAGGCTTCCGAAAGTGCATCTATGCATGTCTAACAAGATTGAAACTTAAATTGAATCCTATTGTTAGACTTAGTGCGTGACAAACGATCACTACTCAACTCATGTCATGTGTGAAAGTTAAATTACATTTACATTACCCATATATTCATTACGGAGGAGTATGATAAATTAAGACTTGTGTAATCTAAGTTGGATCTACGAATAAATTGAACTTTATTTGATAGATGATAAAATCTATTTTGCTTTATTACCATCAATTATGTCCTAAGCGTAGCCATCCATCCTCCCATACCCTAAGGCATCCAAAAATTTTACCCAAACACATATGACCCACTTGCGGACCTAATGTCCTCCTTCATTCCATTTTAAATAAAAGAATTTGGTTTTGATTTGGTACACATTTTTCTCAAGGGAAAAGGAAACCCCAAATGTTAAAATACCCTGAAATTTGACTATATTACAAAACCCAGAATTGGATCATCATAGCCCACAAGAACCAATTCAGACCCAACAGCCCTCCATCGCTTAAGAATTGTGTTGGAGAAACACCTTTCCTTTTAGGGATGTAAATAAATACTTGAAGAACTTAACCTTTACCGACAATCAATTAGCCTAACAGATGTTCATCATACATTCATTAATGACACATTCCATCTTTAATATATATAAATGATTGGAATCTAATATCACTCAGAATTAAAATAAAGAAAGCTATTTTATATAATTTGCTTTATATGTAATAAAGAAAGCTGAATCCAAGGTATTATTTTGAATTTGAATGAAGCAAGAAAGCGAGAGAGATGATAAGATACGTTATACTTTTAGCCTAACAGCCACTGGTCCTGAATAGCTATTATAGGTTGGCTAATTTCACCAAGCTGTTGTCTAGGTTTACTCAACACCACTGCCACTTGTCCATATTTAATCAAAACCATTAACGCTTATAGAAACAACGTTAAATGCACAAAACTAATCTCTCCATAGGAGTCGGCACAAATGTCTAAACCCACATGATAAACCAACCGAAACTAATGCAACCATAACTCAAACATCAAAACCTCTATCCTTTTACAAACAACCGCCCAACACTCAAAACTAATTAAACTCCATGGACCCACTTTTGGGGAAATAGGGCAATCAGGCTAGCCAGCTTCATGGTTTACCACCAGCAATGCAACTTCACAGTTATAACATAAAGTCAACCAATAATGACACATAATCATATACCACACCTACACAAACACAAACCATGAGACGGGCAAGGTTCCCTTATTTCATTTTCTAATACCATATTCAAATGGTTGGCCAAATTGTCAAGCAAAATCAGGGGCATGCAAATGAAGTCAACATATTGAAACCAAGGTTTAACCAACCATAGATACCACATTCCACTTTATTTTCCTAACAGAATGGCCAATCTAGACCTACAGCCACAGTTGATGCCAGGGTTCCATAATCACAATTGCATCGATGAAAGAAGTGTATTCATATACGACACAACACCTAAAAAGCCACATGCCAAGTCATAGAGAAGCCACAAATTTCATAATTTATACGAATATTCATCACGGTATAACTGCTGAAAATAATTAAACAACTATTGAACAGGATAAAGCTCATAGAAATCAGAATAGAGAACAAAGCTTCTACTAGAACCATGAAGCTTTTAAGCATAAAGAAACGATGGAGATAATATGGTGTTATAGGATACAAGAATTAGGTTGCCTCATTTCCATCACAACTGGATTACAAAAATTTTAACAGAGCTTCTGGTGAAAACAATATGACAAACAAGCATAATCCCTAAATTTATGTACACGTGTAAAGAAAGAAACAAAACTGGATCAAATACATGGTAGTGAAGCTTACGTGATCATAGAGGACGCATACCTACTCCAAAAACCAATTAAGACGAAACTCTCTAAAACAACAATTGCCTTCAGAAGTATAAGCTGTACGTGAAACCGCATGGGATTTCCAGGGATCATTGATGACAACAATAACTCTGATATGTTTCTGGTTATTTCAAAGTCCCTCTTCTTTTACGCTCTTTAAGGTCAGTGGGGATAATAAATACAGAATCTACACAAAGCCCTCCTTTAGAATGTGTGCAATCTATCTGTTTCACGGAAAATCTGACTTCAGTTGTTGGTTCTGAGGTGTTGACGATAAATTCCCCTACCTTGTAGTCTATCCAGCATCCACGCTTATGGTTTCCATTTTCATAATCTTGTTCAGTATCGTCCAAATAGTGCTCACATGATTCTAGCTGGCCATCAGAAGTAGACAACTCAAATTTCACAGGCTTTATATCCCAACCGTGTGTGTGCTCGAAACTAGACATCCGTCTTCCCAACCTTTGGGAAAATCTTCCAAGGTGAAGCCTGAATGAGAGAGTATATATATCAGCTGGAAGAGGAAACTTTACTACTCCATCTACTTCAAACCACCATATTTGCTGCAAATACGCTACAATATGGAATCTGGAAGAACAAAATAGGGAACGATTATTAAAATTACTAAGAAAGAAAGCTGGAAGAGAAGGTGGAAAGATCATGTTAGCCACTGGCCAATGCAACTGAAAAATAATTTGTTCAATGGCATACAATTCTGAAGATCTCAGCACTGGAAATTTCCAGGTTTGCACTCTTCATAGAAAAAGATAAAAGTTCAATAAAAAAAATTCACAATTAAGTAGTACAAAGTTTTCATAGGTAGAACAGAATCAATAATATCCTTTCAAAATATTTTGTTCAACGAATGAAGCACCATAAGAAAGGCTAAACTCGGTATATATGATAGAGTAATGGAAACTAGTCACTGGGTGGGAACCCAATATCTTGGACACACTGTAAAGTGATCAAAGGAAAGAATAAAGATCAGTATTGAGGGCAATGTTAAAGCATCATACCACAAATATACGCCCTAGTACATTGGAAATTTTATCACCCTGAATACATTGAACATTGCAATCACTCGAACTGAATGCAGTGTAGATACTTGTGAGATATAGATGACTATTACAATCAGATCACTCCCCACCAGAAAACAGAAAAATGAATTAATTGACAGGACGAGATTTACTACCCCTTGATCATTCTGATCAACACAAACTATTTCCAGTTAATAAAAAATTAAAGGTTGAGTCACACTAAATAACCGAATTTGAAATGATGGTAAGAGTACTGAAACCTGGAAGCTTGCCTCAGCGATAAATTTTTATTTCTATCAAGCTCTCACTCATAAAGACTATGCTTTGAGCACTTCAATAGTATCAAGATCTCGGGACCATATCATGACTAAATAAAGGATATGAGGTTTTATGGAAAACGAAGGGATATCTCTTAGTCATATTACCTAGGCACTGTAATTATATAAACCAAAACGCTAGAAAAAAGGCTCTATGCACATCATTTGGAAGACAGAAACTTGAAATCAGCTTGCCTTATTATAATTGTTGGGAATATAATTAGTATAGATGCAAGTCCTTTTAAAAGTCATAGATGGTTGTACAATTTTTTAAATATATCAGAAGATAAGAAGATTAACATGAAAACGAAAGCTATTATCCGAGTCATAAAATTCTTAACCATGTGTTGCCAATTAGGAGGTTTCAAGAAGACGTTATAAGATCCTATATCCTGCCTTTTATACGGAAGCCTTCAATTAGTCAGTCTCATAGTTGACTATGGCAGAAAATATTCAATGGATGGCCACTAGACCCCGGAACATTTGAATGTTTTTAACATCTGTCATCCCTTAAATATTTTTACCATGCTTCAAGAATAGGAAACAAAACCAAAGAAGCTTTGAAAATCAGAACATTATGCAACAAAAACAAAATTCAATTCTACCCAGGTTTTGGGGACTATAATCCCATTTTCTGAGCAAAAATCTTATAATTAAAAAGATTGAAATATAACATCCTGTAGAAAAAAACGAAGCTTTGAACATGTATCATATGAAGGATTACACTAAAATAGTAATTATGAGAAAGAGCTAAGCAACCAATGGGTTACACAATATAACCATCTAAAGGCAAGTAAAAACTGATGTGGTCGAGAAAAATTTTCAAAAGGTTAGCAAGAGAAGAAAATATTCTTTTCTCACAACCCCTCAAAAAGATAATATATGTTGAAAGGATGAAAGTAATATGTACAGAAAAACAGACATAGATGGGGAAATCATTAGTTATTTGTTTCACTGTACAAGAACAGACAAATGCAAAATAACTCTTAGTGCACTAATAGGAAAATTAATTCAAGCACAGAAGCATCGAAGAAGGAAATTGAAAATTTAGCATATTAGCATCTTCTCTTTCCTTATAAGCCTCTTCCAAAATCCAACCTATAAAATATCGCTTGAGATTATTAATGTGGCAATGTGGATAAACATAATCTCTAAACAAGATTAAGTAAAAGATTCCATCATCATCTCAACATTAACAATGAATAAGCAACCATGAAATTTTTCAAAGCTTTCACTCTTTCTACATAATACCATTTGAATGAGGAAAAACATCAACAGACAACAAAAGCCTAGAATGTCGCCATTAAGTAGCACCCAAATGCATTTCCTTCCACCAAAAGTTAAATGAGACATGCAATTAATAATACAATTCCCCAGATATCACATTCCAATAAAAATGTAGCTTAATCCATATATATGCTCCATGTGAAAGCAAAATCAGGCATAATTACTTCCTTTTTGTGCTTTCCAAGCAATCACTACAGCATTCTAACAAGCTGGTTAAAAACCATGCTAGAAACACTTCAAGATGCAAGTATATCAATCCCATATAAAGTCAATATCAATATCAATATCAATAAATTCTACAAGTGACTTCAGTATTGAAGGATAATGATATATGTGTCTAACCTAGATTCTTCTGTAGAAACACAATTCCAATATCTCCGATCATCGATTCCTGTTATTGCCATCCCTTTTGCAGATATTGCCATGCATACCCTCCCGGTCACTCTGTCCAGCCATACTTCCTACATA